TAGAGGGAGATAGGCACGGATGTTAGCTCAAGGCCAATCTTCCACAGCAAAAAGAGGAGGATTGGTGGCAGATGTTAGCTCAGGGCTAATTGTCCTCAAAACAAAACAAAATAAAACAAACAGAAACAACCCAAATCAGCCCAAATGTCCTTCATCTGGTGAATGAATAGAAAAACTGTGCTAAATCCACATGATAGCCTCAGCAATAGAAAGGAAAGACCCATTGATACAAGCAGCATTTCAGATGTATCTCAAATTCATTATGGTAACTGAAAGAAGCCTGACTCAAAAGGCTACATAGCTTATGATTCCATTCATATGACATTCTTCAATAGACAAAACTACAGGGATGGAAAATAGAGCCATGGTTGCCAGGAGCTGAAGGTGGGAGGAGGAGCTGACTACAAAGGGGCACAGGGGAACTTTTGGAGATGATGGAACTGTTCTATATCGTGACTATGGAGGTAGTTACAAGACTGCGTGCAAGTGTCGGCACTTATACTACTGTTCACTAAAAAAGAGTGAAGGCATTTGAGTTAGGACAGAAGAAAACTGCAGCTGAATTGCTACGAAGACGCCTGTATTAACTTTGCCATATGTGCAGCTTACTTACCTCAGCCCATATTTCAGATCTATGTTGTAAAGCCTAAAGATACACAGGCTATTCATAGAGCTCTATACAAAATCACAGAGAACCATTCCCCCAAGTGAGTACATTGGTGGGATGATGTTCCCTCCTTGGTTTCATGAAGCTGTTTTCTAAGTAATCCCCTCCTTTTACCACATCAACACCCAAATTGCTAATTATAGGGAGAAAATCCAATGCAACATACCATAATATAGTCAGTTCCCACTTATACAGCTAATGAGGAAAAATAGCTTTAAGTATTTAGAAATATAGAAACAATGTTAAAATCTCATTTTTTAAGCCATAGTGTCAGCCACATCATCATACCATCGTTTGTTCTATTTTGCAGATGAAGAAGCTGAGGCTCTGGGAGTGTTAATGACCTGGCCAAGTTCACCCAGCTAGTAAATGGAAAAGCTAGAATTCCAAACCCAGGTCTTCTAGCTCCAAAGCCTGTGGTCTTTTCACAACTCTATGCTCCAAAGGAGCAAAAGGGCAAGAACGCACATATTTTGTGTCATTCTAAGTTTAAAGAAGATAATAAAACTCAATCAAAATAAAATTTATTAGGAGCAGAAACCCTAACATTTGTCTTGGAAGACACTCCTCCATGTGTCTCTCACATTCCTGCACATCTTGCTGACTGGACGACTCTTTATCTAGACATTTCTTAGAATTGATTTGCAGCCAGCAATCTTGAAGGGTGAGTAACCTCTCCATCTAGGACAAAGAACAGGCTTACTTCTGCTTACTATGAAGGCAATGGATTCCCCAAGCTAAGCATTCTTCTCCTCTAATGCAACCCGCTGTGGGGGAAGACTTCTATTTGGACTCTCCTCATTGCCCCTGTGGGATTTCGGGGCAAGGTGAATTGATATGAACATGTTGCTCATGCTGCATGCTGTGTTGTGGATAATAAAGTCCTTTGTCTCTGACCCAGGAGTCTCGTGACTTCTGCCAGCATCCATGAAACAGTAATAGGAGAACTTATTAGATTGTAAATAGATAAAATCAAATCCTAGACACCAAGGCTTGTATCTAAATTAAAAGTGGTCCCTGGAAAAGTTGGAAAAAAGAAAGCATAAATGCAAGTAATCATAAAATAGGTAATAAGAGACAAGTATAGATTTTTAAATTAGTCAACTTTTTGCATGGATTTATCTAAACTTCCCCTCCAAATCTTCACCCTCTGGCATTATAAAAAGAACCCTTGGTTTTAGGACTTAAGTCTCCAAATTGCTCCTTGACGGTACTCTGCTTCCTTGCACGTTAAGCTCTAGGAAACTAACTTCTCATGTGTTGGTGTGAACTTTTCCAGTGGGCATTAGTGTTGCCGCAATCAGACATGTGAAAGGATGACTGGCTGTGATTTAAGGCAGAGTTTCCAGTCGGGTAGTAACATGCTGAGGTCACTTTGGTTGGTAATTTGTGAACTGCATGATGCAGAGATGGGAAGACTGTAAGAGCTCCCTCAGTCTACCCTCCTCATTTTATAAGTAATCAGACTTTTGGGAGAGGACTAACTTGGCCAAAATCACACTGTAAGTTAATGGCAGAGCAAGAGTGCCTGGCCTGGAGAAGAACTCCACTCTTCTTTTCACCACTCCAGTTCTATTCTACTTCTCCAGAACTATTCTGAATTCATTACACTTGGGGGGTAATGACTTACATTAGCAAAGCTCAAATCTGATGGATAAACCAGAATTCAATTCACTTTCAATTGTAGATATGCAACTGTCTAGAGTAGAGACACTTCCCTTTCAGGAGATGTCTTCCTAGACTTAAGTTTAAGTCATAAATCAAAATGTTGCTTGGTGAGCACAGAATTGGAACACATTTAAATGTGTATTCTCTAGTGACATAACCATCAAACTAGAGTAGCTATATGGATTCCTCTTGATTTAGTATATTTATTTAGATAATGGGATTGAAAGTTTAGAATTCATTCACTCGTATACTATTTATTGACCACCTACTATGTGTCAGGCACCTACTGAGGATACTGTCCTCTGGACAAGAGCTTTATAGAGATATACTTATTATCCAAATACTCTTTTAAATTAGCCATCTAAGTACCATTTACTTTATCTCAAAAGAAAAAATTTCTACTTTTAGGGATTTTATATTATCTCTTGATTCTCATCACAAATCTGTACAGTAGATAATAATTATCTCATTTTTCAGATGAGGAACCTGAGACTTAAAGGGGGTGAAGTAACATGTTTCACGTTACACAATTAGCATGTGGCAGCCTGGAGGGACCTACGTTACCTTACTCCAAGCACCTTTGCTTCCCATCACACCTTTTAACTCATACATTTCTTAAAATTGGGTTTATCATATTCTAAGCATAGCCATAGCAAGGTCTTTCTTTTGTGACTCTATAATCCTAGTTCCATGATTTGGGAAAGGTCCCAATGTCATCTGCAAATCAATTCAGCAAACATTTACTGAACACCAACTGTGTACAAACGTACTACATGCAAAGCATTGAGCCATTCTCTGAAGAGGACACAAAGATGAAAAAGACAAGATCCTTGTATTTAGTGGAGAATACATTATATATATATATATATATATATATATATATATGTATGTATGTATATATGTATACACTTGTATATAAAATATGGAGTTATGTAGACCAGCAGTACAAATGAAATAGTGTGAGAACATAGGGAAGAGGAAAAAAATTCCAACTAGGGAGATTTGAGAAGGCTTTTTTGAAAAGGGAATTGAAATTTGAAGGGTAAGATTTTTCCAGAAGATTAGGGAAAAAGAGCCCAGAAGTGAGACAGCCTCAGCAAAACCTGAAGGCAGGAGATTGCTGAGCACCATCAAGATCGTGGGGGACAGGATGTATTGGCAGTATTGTGGGAGATGATGCAGGAAAGGTAGAAGTTAAATTGTAGAGGGCTTGTCTGTGAGCAAGAGAATTTGGAAGTCGATTTTATATGTAAGGAAGATTCTTCCAGGGATTTCAGGCTGCGGGGATAGATGATCAGCTCAAGATAATGCTTATTGCCTTTTATAACTTTATCACTAGATCTCCACTGCTTTGCAAAGTGCAATGCACTTGCTGGGTGCAAATAAACATGTTAAATGAATGGGCTAGAGGGCAAGAGACTAGAGGTTGAATTATCAGTGAGGTTATAGTAATTGTTCAAGAAGAGGGCAGATATAATCAACACTGCAGAGGTGAGAATGACAGACTTTGATAGCTGGATTTGGGAATAAGGGAAAGGGGAAAGATTTAAAGAAGGCTGACTTTGCACCACCAGGAAGATGGTGATATTGGGAACAGGGTGCACGCAGGAGAAATAGGTGGCTGGCTTGGGGAGAGTAGGAATAAGGAAAGACTCTCAATTCTGTTTTGGATTAGATTGCATTTGAAGTGCTGGTAGGATATATAGTAAAAAGATTTTCAAGTCTGGACCATTCACAAGACCACTTTTCTTGGGGGGGGGGGCGGTATCATGTTCATATGCCCAATTTCATCCACTGTTATATACAGATTTGTACTAATTTAGTTTGATATTTTCCTTACATTGCCCTAAAATTGTGAAGTACCTTATTTTCTTAGTGCCCTGTTCAAGAGCTACCCTAAGGAGAAAGAGAAGGAAAAATTACACTAAGGAAAGTGGTTGGAAGAAAGAGATCTGATTTTCATGCTTTAAACTGGACAAACTTTACCTTCCATCTTCATTAATTGGGGAATGGATAGAGAAATACATTTTAAAGGACAGAGCCTGTATTTAGAAATCAGGCAGTAACGGAGACACATGCATATATACAAACTACTTATAATTGAAAAAATAATAAGCCATAGCCAGAGGTGATGTGCTCTTTACTGACTCCTCCTCTGAGTGAGGCTGTTACATTGCTAGAACGTTTTGCAAGCTAAGGTTTTAGAGTCCCACTGATGGTCTGAATTATGAGGGATTCCTTCTTTCCTTCCCATGCGCTATTTTGAGCTGCATACTCCACGGAGCAGATACGCTCAGAGTTTATTAGCCCAGGACACGGTGGTTTCCTTCCCTTTCTTTTCCCTTCACGGCTTTTTCATCCCACCACCGCGCGCACATCCAGAACCCTCCTCTCCATCCAGTCTTCTCCCTGCCGCCTAGGCTGGCGCTGCGTTAATCCCCGCCGGCGTGGCGCCTTCCCCCGACCCCGACCTGGCGGGGCACGTGCCCGGGGGACCGTTGCAGCAAACACCAACGGTCTCTTTCGTCCGGTACGCGCGCGCGGGGGCGGGTTGGGCGGGCGCGCCAGGGCCGGCGGGCGCGAGCGGGCGGGCGGGCGCGGGAGGCGCCGGCGGGAGCTGGGTGGGCGCGCGGGCCGGCGCGGGAGCAGCCGCGGGCCGAGGGGCGCGAGGACAGACAGTTGGAGTTGGGGATGCGGAGCTCTCCGGTTTGCGTTTCTGGAAAAGCAGTTGAATACATTGAAGTAGAAAAAGCAAGTTGCAAAACGATAAGTATAATAAGATCCCATTTAGAAAGATTCATAGCGCCAAACCGTGTGTACGCACGTGTGCATGTAAATGAGTAGAAAAAGGTCTGACAAAGCTCTGGGGGAAGGAGGAGGTTAGAAGAGCGGATGAGGGGAGCTTACTGTGTCCATTGGATATTTCGGAGATATTAAACATTATTATTATTTAGAGCGACAATGTAATTAAAAAAAATCTGCATTTGGGAAGCTTGGATGTCCTCCTGCCTCCCGTCGGTGGGGACCTGCTCAGACTCTGAGAGCACCGGCAAGAGCTGAGTCAAGAAAAGCTTTTTCACAAGAAACTCACCCTTTTCCCTTCCTCGCTGCGCCCCCTCGTCTCCCCCTCACCTTACTGGGAATCCTTCGAAGTGGCCTTTGCGGGGGGCTTCTTCCTCACAGCCTTTCTCATTATTACAAATCTACCTGCAAAGCCCACTCTCGGAGGAAACACTTTGAAGATAGTAAATTGCTCACAGGCACCCGAACCTTTGAATTAGACATTGTTCTCAAACCGTCTCTGGTAAAAATTAAGATAAAATGTTTACAGGATGTTTCTATTTTCTATAGTACAGTTGTACTATAGTGTTCCTATTAGTATGACCACATGATGTTCAATTCAATTTTGTTTTCATTTTGAAATAATTTAACTTAGGAAAAAGTTACAAAGAATTCTATTATATCCTTGACTCGGCTTCCCCAAATGCTAACATTTAGCATAACCATAGTACAACATAACATAGTTACAATGGTCACAACTAGGAAATTAGCAATACTACTACTCTGTTAACGAATCTACAGATATTATTCAAATTTCTACCATTATCCAAAAAAATCCTTTTTTTTTTTTTTCTGATCTGGGATTCAATCAAGGGTCTCACAATGCATTTAATTGTCATGTCTACTTGGTTTCTTCTGATCTGTGACAGTTTCTCAGTCTTTCTTTTTTCATAACTGGCACTTCTGAAGAGTACTCTTGGCCAATTATTTTGTGAATGTCGTTCAGTTTGAATTTGTTTCATATTTTCTTGTGATTATATTTAGATTATGCATTTTTGGCAAAAATACACAGAAGTGTGCCCTTCCCAGTGCATCATATCAGGAGGCACTTGATGTCAGTGTTTCATTGATGGTGACATTAGTCGATTACTTGGTTAAGGTGCTATATGCCAGGTTTGTCCAGTGAAAAGTTGTGATTTTTCTTTTTGTATTTAATCATAGGAGGCAAACATCTTCATCATATGTATACCGATTTTAGCATTGATGAATCTTGACTGCAAGTTAGCCCTGTGGTGTTTGCCAAATGGTGATTTTTCTGTTTCCATCATTCTGCTGTCATATTTCAATCTGAATATTTAAATGCACAATAACTTTTTAAAGGAAAATATTTGCCTAATACTTTTCTACTTTACATTAGGGGAAAAAAGGCATTTGGAGGCTGTGATATGCTGTGGAATTAATGGCTGAAATGGAATTTATGAGTGAATTACTTAACAGATAACTGAATTCTATTTTACTTTTTGGTGAGGAAGATTGGCTCAGAGCTAACATCTGGGCCAGTCTTCCTCTATTTTGTAGGTGGGACGCTGCCTCAGCATGGCTTGATGAACGATGTGTAGGTCCACCAGGGATCTGAACCCACGAACCCTGGGTTAACAAACTTAACCACTCCAGCACCAGGCCGGCCCCAAACAACTTCTGAATTTCAAATGAATAATTCACTATTCTTAGTACTTGTAAGAACTTGGATTCTAAAATCTCAATTTACATGGATTTATAAGCTCATTAATTGTATTGGTTTGTAGCCATTCTCATAAATGGGTGTGTAAAATGGTATTTAAAAGTGGAACAAAGACAGAAGTCTTTAATATTATTTCCAATGTATTGCTAATTTTAGTTGGCATTTGCAAAACTGACCCTTTAACAATACATCTGACTCTCATCCAATGATATTTCACTTTATTTAGCCTCAATGTTTGCTGAAAGGATTTACTGGCAGTTGAAATGAGTACTCGTTTGAATGCATTGCAAGGAGAGTAGAATTCTTTTGGGTGAGATCTTTTAATCTGAGGGTTATTTGACTATCAAGCATTGTGATAAATCTCATTTGAAGATTAAGTTATCCTGAGCAGCATTTCCCCTAATCTTTATCATGGTAGATGGAAAACTGGTCTAAGATTGAGTCTTAGCTTTGATGCCAGTTTTTCTTGCTTTCAATATGAAAGAAAGCAGGAGAGTGAGTTTAGGTTTTTTTTTTTTAAAATCACTGATCTTTTTGCGTATCTGATATCTATGAACATTTCCCCTGGAAAATACACAAGCCCACGTGTTGCATTCGAGCAAAAGCAATCCAACATCAAGTGGGGGTGGGGGTGGGGTGGAGGAGGTAATGGGGAGGGAAAAGTGGACTGCCAGACTGTGAGAAGTTTCCCAGACAGTTTCCCCTCCTGCCATATGGCATGTGACACAGCTCGCCTCTCTTGGCAGCTTAGGTGGGCACCTAACGCTGCACAGACCATCTGGCTTCTTGTCATTTCCCTCCAAACCCCTCCCTCAACCCCCAATATCATCCTTTATCACTTAGCCCCCAGTCTGCTCAGCTGTCTTGCTGGCTCTTCACTCCTAATCAGGTCCTCCCTGGCGCTCTCACCTCTCTCACTAGCCTATTGTTTGGGAACATAGCTCAGAAGCTCAAGTGAGAGAAACTGATCACTTCCAAAGGGCTCGAGCAGAGAATTTATTGAATAAATATGTCAATGCTTCCCCTTCTCATCAGCACAGAAATCTTGCCAGGTTTTCCTGTCTGTTCGAAGATGAAGAACTGATGAACACGTCTAAAATCAACAGCCTACACAAACGGTGATCATTACCAATGGAGAGAAGGCCGGAGAGTCACCGTAGCCCTCTGACCCCTCAAAGGCGGGATGGGGCTGGAGAAAGAGAAGTGGGAGCCGAGGAAAAGGGATCAGGATCCGTTATAACGAAACACTTTTTGTTTCTGAAAATGGAAAGAACGCAAGCTCCCAGAACCCGCTTCTTCGCCCGCCAACCCCCTCGCCTCCTGCCTCTGTGACAGCCCTCGGCTCCCGGCCGAGCTCAGGCCCGCCACCGCCCGCGGCAAAGCTTGGCGCTCCTGCGCGCGCCTCCGCCGACAAAGAGCAGGCGGCTGCGGGGCGGGGCCGCCGGCCCGGAGGAAGACAAGGGGAATCCCTCCCGGGCTCTGACGTCACCGAAGCGCTGGCCAATGGGAAGCCGGAGAGGGGGATTCCCGCTCTGGCTGCCGCCCCGCCGGCTTTTTAAACAGTACCCTGGGGAAAGCTCTCTGGAAGCCGTGGGAGGAATGGGAGCATTGAGGTTGGGGGTGAAATAGGACGAGACTCTAGAGGTTTGACGATTAGGCATCAAGACGGGCTTAGACTGAGGGGAAAACAGGAGGCGGCCAAGGAGAGGTCAAAGTCCTCCTGAGATGGAGTGGAAACTGGAGCGCACCGCCCCGCGGCGGGTCCGGACCGAAGAAGAGATGCTGTGGGTGAGTAACGCCCTTTGGCTTCCTTGTCTCAACTCCCTAGAGGGGCTTCTTATCGAAGGCACCGTTCGTAACACCTGTTTAGGGCCAAAAGGTAGTATAAAACTCCAAACTCTGACCTTAATTTTGAGTTGTGTAATTTAGTTATATCCTGGAGCTACCTGGTTGCTTAAAAAAAGTGAATGTGATTTGACAAGCTAATGATCTGGAAACATTCCACCCCTAACATTATGGTTTTTAAAAATAGTTTCTCTTTCGTGTGTTATTTATATTTTCAAAGGAAAATGTCATGCGGGTGCTCGCTAAAGACATGAAGCAGAAGAGAAGCCAAGGTTCTTCCAAGGTGAGTGTCTAGTGCTTGCTCTACTTCTTTGTGTTAATTCTGATCTTGATCAAACTAATTCTTTCGAAAGAAGATATTTGTTGGAAGTATAGGCTGGTCTTAAAATATGAAAATTTAAAAAATCAATCTCTTATTATATCACTGCAGAATCTAATTATACACCACTAAAAAAAAAAATTCTGCAAGAAACTGAAGATCCCTGACAAATAATGGTAATCATCTGCACCTGAATGGTGCTTTCTAGTTTCAACAGCAACAGATGAAGCTTGGATGTGTCAGGTAGGCAGTGCATTGCTAGCTGGCTATTTCATTTTAACAGTTGCTGGTTGCGCTCCCCTCTGTTGCATTCGAAAGCTTGCCCCCAAAAGAAATGGAAATGCTGCCATCTTGTGGACAATGAAGAGAAGTGGCCTAATCCTCGGCCCTTAGGTTAGCAATTTAAAATTTGATCCAATGTAGTAGCACTTTTTCTCCTGAACCCCAAGACCTTTAGCTTCTCTTGAAATCAGTGTAAAAATAAAATCTAAATGATTTTTTCTTTTCTTTTTCTTTTTTTAAAGATTGGCACCTGAGCTGACATCTGTTGCCAGTCTTCTTTTTTTTCTCTTCTTCTCCCCCAAATCCCCCAGTACGTAGTTGTATATTCTAGTTGTATATTCTGGTTGTGCTATGTGGGACGCCGCCTCAGCATGGCCTGATGAGTGGGGCTATGTCCATGCCCAGGATCTGAACCAGCGAAACCCTGGGCTGCCGAAGGGAAGTGCACAAACTTAATCACTCAGCCCTGGGGTGGCCCTGATTTTTTCTTGTTTTTTCCTACGTTAAACAGCCCTCGTATACTGTGAGTCTCTAATTATCACCATTACCTTGCTTCTCGCTATGCTAATTTCCTTTAATTTTTACTCATAGATTCTAGTTTCAAACTTATTATCATTTTAATACATTTTTATATCTTCTGATAAATCAAACACAGGACTGCACTTTCAGAATGCAATGACTAATGTTATTTATAGCGGGAGATAAAGAATAACGTTTAAGTCTTTAAATTCCTAAGTATTTTAATATTGATTTTTTCCCCAAGCATAGCTAGAGTTTTTTCTTATGCCCGGCTTATGTATTACCATGAGTCCTAGATATTTTACTGCCTAATATAGACAACTGGTCTTTTGGTCAGTAAATAGAAGTAATTGGAAAAGCTATAGTTAAGTATAACTTTGTTAATTCACTTGAACTGCAATATCATATTTTCATATCCAAGCTTTTAATTTGTAAAAGCTAACTGTAAGTATTCTCAAGGTTTTTCTTTTTTAAGTTTTTGAATGGGCTAAATATTAGTTTTATTTCTTATAATAGTTTTGGAGGAACAAGTTTTGTCTATAAGTTTTCTTTAATATGACTATTAAGATTAAAGTTCTGCCACTGTGTTTCATATATAAATGTAACCTCGGGCCGTGGAAAGCAGCAGTGACCTGAGTCAGGTAGGCAGTGTGTTGTTAGCTGGCTGCTTTAGGTCAATTCAGCAGCCACAACTACCCTGCCACTTGCTTCTGGATAAATTCTTCTCATTAACAAAGTGCATTCGTTACCTGTGTGTGATGGGTTGGCAGTGTATTGTTAGCTGGTTGAATATATGAATGGCATCAGCTAACAAGCAACTGCTATCTTATTGCATATACAATAAACATCAGAGTATAATTAAATCTGGAATGTGAGTGTGTGTATGTGTGTGTGTATATTTTTTGCTATGAACCAGGGCACTATTGCACTATTTACCATTACACTTGTTATTGCTGTTCAGTTACTCAATTATAATACAATAGACAGTTTTGTAATGTGAAGAAACTACTACAATTAATTATGAAAAAAATTTCCAGGTAATATTTTTGAAGTCTTGTGTAGATAGTATTAAAGTATTTATGAAATTATATATTTATTTTTTAATATAAAATTTAGAATACAATGACAATTTAGAATGGAAAGCCTAAAATACTTCCCCAAATTTTCAAGTAAGTCTTTAGTTTTCTTTCTGGATGATCAGTTTCTGGGTCTGTGTGACCATATGTGGCAACCAGCTGAAGGGAGAATTGAGGTAACGTTCCAGATGAGTCAGTCAACCAAAACGTTTTCACTTGAATATCAAGAAAACTGGAGATTTTTGGGGAGTGGGGTTGAATTTGTTTGGAAGATTTGCCTCAATTCTTCGCTTCATTTTCCTTAAAATAACAGAATCATAAAATATTTGGAAGAAAGCATGAGATTTAGTTTGAGAAAGGAAGAACTGACTGTACAATATGATTTCAAATATTTTCTCCTTCCCTTGGAGGCCATGTTGAGCCGTGGAGCAGGGTCAGGTATGTGCCGGGTCCCAGACTTACAGTCCGCACTCCTGTAGACATTTGCAGCAAATTCGTGGACATGGCTTTGGTGGTCTGGTCAGTTAGTTACACCCTAAATGAGATGTGAGAAGTATATCACACTCTTTATTGTGTTGGAGTCTAAGTTATTGGTAAAATAACTTTTATTCTTACCTTATTTCTAGAACCATGGGTTAAATAGATATCTATAATTAGATTCTATGCATTTTACTACTTTAAATCTCATTCTCTTTTTATTATTGCCCAATGTCATTCCATTTTCATCATCTTTACGTTTGAGTATCTGTTCCATGTAAGTATTGTTTTCCTTTTGTTTTTTTTAAAGGTTAAATTTCAACATGTTATTTTCTATAGGAAGTCACTGACCTGTTGATAAAAATAAAACCTACTAAGTTTAGAAGGCTTGGCCTTTGTGTTTTAATTTTTTTAAACTAAAGAGCAAGACATAAAATGCCAACATTTATACTCAATAAATAGAATACATATTTAAAGCTGTTGTTCAGTTCCATAGTATTGAGATGATGAGAAAGGAGGGAAAGAATGGAATTCAATAAAGATAAATTAAGGAGATCAACAGGTAAGGAGGAGAATGAATATACACATTCAAAGAGAAAATGTTTCCATAGGAGTGAGAGGGAAGGCGAGGGATCCACTCCTGGGACCTCAAAGGAAAAGAAGAGGGAAAGGGGGTTGAAAAAAGAGGAGGAGAGAGGCTCTGCTGGCTGGGAAGCATTTTCTCTCCCCGGTGTTTTCTCTTGGGGCAGCTGCTATGCTGTTCAGGGTGCTGGGGAGTAACTGCTGCCCATCACTACCCTCTGGAGGGCTTCCTCCTTCCTGGCTGCTTCACTCTGCAAGGCATGGCTTAGCACTGCAGTGGGAGAAGGGAAAAGCAAGAGTGGGAAGGCGTGTGATGTGTTAGTTTCTAGGTGTACCAGTTATTAGAATTGCATTATCCCATGGGAGGATGAAATCAAGCTGAAGGATCAATACAGACACAGCGTCTCCGTGTTAGCTCCACCCAAACGTGTCTTTTTTCTTTCAAAGGAACACCGTGAATGAATGTGCAGGGACTGCTCGACACTTTTTAGCTCGTGTAAGGCAGTTTTTTGAAACACATTTAAAGAAAATACAGTTTTTTTCTTCTCAGGCTTTCTTTTTCTTTTTTTTTTTTTTTTACTGGAGTGTTTTCCTACTTGAGATTACCTGCAGACAATCCAGTTAGGCCATTCGGTTTTAGCGTGATTACGCAGTATACTGTTAGCAGCTTTTCATAATTCAGTAATTGCATATACTTTCATGTTTTTATATAACCTGTCAAAATAGTATATTTATAATAAAGAGTATATATGATATATTTTTGCTCTAGGTTTTTCTCTTTGGAAATCCTTATGATACTCTGATCAAGTCTGATTTTTAAGAATTTTGGTGTGCTGGAGCCAGCTCGTACTGATTTGTGAGGACCGATGGTTAGATTTTCAGAAATTTTGCAAGCCAGTTATGAAACCATTGGTAGGTTGAAATTGACCATGTGGGAGCATTTACACCATGGCAATTGGCAAATACTGCAAATCGGGACTCCTTCCCCAGAGAGTTGGTTGTTAAATATTTACCAGCCACCACTGTATATGTGCTATATATACTCTAACTCTTAAGAATTATATATATGCACATATACAGATACTATGGATACACTATAGTTATTAAGCATTTTCAAGAATGAAGTTTAACTTTCAGGGTATATTTCAGGCAAATTCGTATTTATTTCACTCTCCAATGCTATTGCTACATCTGCCGTGAGATGATCAGGAGTTAGTATGAAGTACTCCTCTTCATCCCCCAAATAAAGCAAAGCACCAATTAATGCATTTTGACCAGATTTAATAATGACCACAATTAAATGCGTTTTATTTTGTCCCCTTCCTTTGTCATGAGGACAATAGCTGAATACCCTTTTATGTGATGCCTGCTATTTTTTGTTATACTCCTGAGTTCAGGCGGCCCATAGTAGTCTATGTCTCAGAGTTTTTGATGCTTAGATAGGGAAGGTATTACACTCAATTCGAGAAGGATGCAATTTTTCCTCAGTGTATATTTGCCTGGGAATATTCACACGAGACATTTGAGTTATGGGTGGCAGCACGTCAGCAAATGGCTCCACTCCCTCTTCCAGCACACACAGCCTAGTCATTACAGAACACTGAGTGGACACCTACATGGCACACTTTCCAATCCCCACCTGCCTTCCCTGTACCCAAAGGGTCGAGGGGAGAGAATCAAGCACTGACGATAGTAGAGATTGCAGGTTGCATAAGGCAACCAGTGTTGGAGATCTGTAAGTGAAAACCCCACTTTATGTGGCTTTGGAGAGAACTGGTGACTTGGGGCAGGACGGACAGCTGAATTTCAGTCACCGGGATGGGCCTGGTCGCTCCCCAGCGCAGCCTCATTACCCTCTGTCAGCAGTGGGGAGTCTATGTAACCTGTGTAGGGCTGGCATATACGCTGCTGCTCACACCCCTAATGTGACCAGATAAAACACCGCAGCAGTCCTGCAGTACTGTTCAGAACTTGTGGGAGTCATAAGTGGGGGTATATGGCAAGAGTGCTCTGGAAGCAACACTTGGAGGGGTTGCCCCAACAAAATTTTCTTTAGAACCTTAGAATTCAAATTGCTAAGAGGCCTTTGGGGCAAAATTGCAAAGGACACAGACTTGTTAGGTGGCTCATATTGCTTTGACAACAGTCCAGGTTGCTACTGGTTCCTTTCCTGATCCCTTGAAACACCTTGGTAAGTTGGAAGGGGATTCTGTTCAGTTTGACCCCTTCTACCCCCAATTTACAGGAGAGGAAACTGAAAGGTAGTCACATGACTTGCCCAAAGTCATGCTGCTCGTGAGCGCTGGAAGCAGCTTTGCTGACACACCAATCTGGCATTCTCGAGGCTGTCCCTGTAAATCCTCTTGGCCTCTGATGGAAACTACACCTCCAGCCCCACCAAATATCTTACTACAGACATTCGGAATGGGGTGGTTGGACATATACTGTGAAGCAGAAAGTATTCCAGGAAATATTTTTGGTTTCTCTAAGAACTTTAGTCTAAACACTTATGCAGAATTATATACTGAGGCTGCATTACTGATTGCACCATACAAACAGAATCTTCACTTTCATTAATCAGATCAGAATTTGGGAGCCAACTCAGCTATTTGGATTGGGTCTTCCTTCTTAGGTAAATTTTACATGACTGTATTTTAACCTTTTTTTTGCCCCAGTCTTCCTATTTAATTCTTTTATGAAATGAACATACATTTTATGGGGCAATAATTAACCTTCACCAACTTGGCAATTTGCTTTGTTAGCCAATAATTACAAGTCTGACAACATGGAAAGATCTTCTCTTTGGGAGAAAAAGTGTGTTGTGACTCCATCACAAGGTTCAGAGGTTGCTGAGGTTTAGGACGTGTCATTGCAGTCACTCCCTTTTTTACCCTGAGTTTTGGCTCTTGGAGTTGATTCTTATTGTTTCAGCCATGAGAACGCTGTAGCCCTGGATTCTTTCCAAATGACTAATCTAGTCTGAATATATTAGCAACCAAAATTAACCTGTAAGGAACCAAGCTAAACGATCATATACTCATGGCATCTTTCTTACAGTGGGATTTTCACTCAGAAATAAAGACTGACTCAACTGTTAATATTCTATTAATGGAATTTGAGTTGCTTCTGGAAAATAATAGAGAAATACTGAAAATGATGAAGGATTTTTCAAAGGTTATGATAATGTCATTTATAAATGACTATTTGGCCAGATGTAGTAAAACATACTATAAACTTGTACTTAAAAAAACAAACAAAAGCAAGCCCCAGTGACCTAGCTTAAGTTCAGCGTACTCTGCTTCAGCGGCCTGGGTTTGGTTCCCAGGTGCGGACCTATACCACTCTGTTAGCGGCCATCTGTGCTGGTTGGCCCACATACTAAAAAATAGAGGAAGATTGGCATGGATGTTAGCTCAGGGCGAATCTTCCTCAGCTAAAAACAAATGAAATCCTGTACGTGAAACAAGCAAAAATATATAAGGATTTGAGTCTATATATGTATTTTACGTTTTCAATGTTTATTTTGTGTTTTATTACATAAAAATAGCCATTTACAGTCAGTTACTCCAGAAATTTCAGTCACACAGTGTCCTGAATTCAAAA